CGCCCCCTGCAGGCGGCTGTGAAACACAAACGGACGGGAATGAGACAAATCCAGCGGCAGGCTTAAGTGCCTCCAGAGGAGTTGCTTTCATTAGCTGAAGAACATTTCTGATGCGGTCCACGGATGCACGGGCTGCATCTCTCCCCCTAAACGCTTCGAGCTACTTCACATTAAGGCCTCGTTTGGATTCGGTGAAATATACCCTCGTCGCCTTTATTCGTTTTTAATTGAGTCAGGGAGGAGGTTTTCCCCACCCACTGCTTCTCTGTGCAAAAACACTCCTGTTTTTTTAAAGACGGCATTAACCTGACCTTGTAAAGGCCTTTGAACACCTGCTGAGGAACAAATGAGATGCAGATACAGGCCACCTGAGACTCTTTACACGCATCCTCCTCGAAGCATCTGGAGGCTGATCTTCACGAGTGTCCCGTCCTGAATGAGCGCTCGAGAGCGTCAGACTCATGAGCCCCTGCGCATGGTTCCAGCTGTGAGAAACACAGGAGAAACGCCACTCCAACGATTCCCATGTGCGGATAACATGAAAAAGCTGCGGACGGTCGCCACAAAGCAGGAGATGGAGCTAAGGAGCGAGAATGGAGAACGACGATCAGCCAGATGAAGCTAACCGAAGACCCACAGAGGCCAGGAGGAGGACGAGATCAGAAACCCAGCGCTGACTGGAGAACAGGACTCTCGGGACGTGAACACGCATGCAGCCGGCCGGACCAGCACGGATCTCTAATGCTGCCGGGTGTTCAGAGACCAGGTGTGAGAGATCGGTCTAAACCAGACTCCTGTGAGAAAGCGATGCGTGTGTGTGCAGTAAATAACTTCTTGCTGTGACAAACGGAAAGGGAATGCAAACCGCAGTGTCTGAGTCCTTACTCAACCCCTGAAAAGCGGTTTCTGTCGAACTGTGCGTCTGAAACGTCTCTGAGGACAGAGTCACTGCAGTCGAACGATCTGAACGCCTGCGGCTGGGTTTGATACTCTGAAGATTATAACAGAAACAAAACACGCCTTCGTTGTTTCTACAACACTGCAGCATTCAAGCCTTTCCTTCATACGCGACTGCATGTGTGACCTGTGCTCGGACCGGAGACCAGAGACCAAACACATGATGACCACTAGATCTATAGTGAAGGATGACGCCAATCAATCTGTTTCACTGAATCACGTCATTAAGGTGCTGCACGTCTGTTGACTCCCTCAGGCTGCTCATTTCCAGGCATGCAAATACAGCTCATGTCTACATGAGGAGGAAAGACCAAAATCCCATCTTACAAATGTAAGTGTCATAATCGAATTTCTATAATACAGGAATTAAAAAAACAAAAACAATCTGAGAACAACAGGATCATAAACTGTTAATAAACTGCTCAAAACAAGCTCAGGACGCTCCATCTGACGCACATGCCCATATTCTGCAGTGACTTTAATCTAACACTGCGGCTGTAGGAGTTATTAAAGAGTGATAATGATTTAGGATGTGCTGGAGGCCAGACAGTTTAGTCCTTCAACAACTCTAACATCTGAACCAGTGGAGGACAGACCCTGCATGTGTGTAAACGTTTCACTGCATCCCATCAAGCATCATAATGAGAGAGAAAATAAATCCCTCTAGTCCTTCACATATATAAGGCTGCAGATTTCTGCCTCTAATGGCTCCACTATGTATGAATGTAAGTGGACCAGAAGAGATCAAACTGCCGTCTACGAAATGCATTTGCACTTCATTAGAGCTCACGCGGGGCAGGCTGGGGTTCAGCGGAGGGGGACGCGCTTTAATTGCCAGTCCAATTAGGAGGTTTTATCATGGCTTTCAGAGCATGTTTCAAACTTCACACGGCCAGACCACTGTGTGTAATTAAAGACATTCTCAGGGCCTTAAACGAACTGCAGTCAAATAAAGAAGACGCATGCAACGCATTAACACAGAGCTGCAGTTAGTTAAACGCACAATCAGAGGAGAACTGCAACTTCAGCATATAGTCACATTTTAAATAAGTTAATTATGAAAGGGGGCTAAAATGTCATTTTAGTATGAGGCAGATGCTCAGCGAAAGAAAATGGTAGCACATTATTTTATTTTGAACTCTTATTTCGCTTCTTTCATTGTTTTTTCAGCATTTATTCATGGGATACTGTTATGGAAGAAAAATATTGACAAATGTCTTTGAAACAAAAAAGCATGTTAAATTGCACTAACTGAAAAAAATAATGCATTGTATTAACAGTGTTTGCATTTTAATGCCTTGTATTTTCAGGGGCTGACATTTAACATAGTTGTTTATTTAAGCTGTGAATATTTCAATTCAAAACAATTCACACACATTTTCATAATTAAAAATGCAGTAATTCATATCCACTTTCCAGAATTCACTTCCGAAATATTCAATCTGTTTAAGAATACGATGTATAATATTCGACAGGCAATTTTCGATCCATATTATTTCACTTTACAAATTCGCTTCCACAAATTCAGAGGTTTAAATTCAGGATTGCACATCCGGGATCTGCAGGAATAGCAGTAGAGCAGCGATGCATGATCTCCAGCGGCTGTCAGTCGCTCACCAGCAGGTGATGAAGACAAAAGTCATTCATTCACAAAAACTGATCTGCAGAAATGGAGCGAGCGCTAAGTAGAAGTTATGCGGAAAAAATTATTGTGTCAGACCCGTTTAATTCAACATCATCGCTGTTACTCGTTTCTCAGCCTATATGTGTGTATGCAGCTTTCTCTAACGTTACTGAAAAAGAGATTATAATGCTGTTTTACCCGACGCTGATGTACAGAACTAACATTACATCTGAGGAAGACATATATTGCTTTCGGTTGCTTAGTTTCCTTTACTTTGTATCATGGCTTGTGTGACGCTGTGCTGTAATACTGCGGTTCCCCTCATACGTCACACTCCAGGATTCCCCAACGACGCGTAACGCGCCTCAATTAACCAATACAGTGCAACCCTCTACATTGCAAATGCAAGCCCTGAAAATACAATGCATTATTTTTTCAGTTAGTGCAATTCAACATGCTTTTTTGTTTCAAAGACATTTGTCATTATTTTTCTTCCATATACCGTTTAATAAATCAGGGGAACCAAATAAAGGCTGCAATGTTTGCATTTTCTCACATTGTATGAGTGGAATAAAAGCAAAAAGCCAAGCGATTACTCATTAACACATGTTACTGTCAGATGTGAAGGAGGCCACAGACGCACATGTGATTTGACAGGACCGATAAACCGCTCACAGCAGCTGATGACTGCACTACAATGATCACACTTGGCTTTGGACAAAAGATGTTAATGGAAATAAAATCACTTGCTCAAACAGGAGCTTGATTAATGCGCAAACACACCAATGAAGAGACTGAGTATGTCATCCTTCTATATCAAGGTTGCTCGAAATACCATCAAAGCAGCTCATGCTCAGCCACAGACGTCACACTCTCCTCTGGCTCAGCCATCCCTGACCATCATGCCGAATGACTCGAGTCTCACATAAAAACACTGCAGTTCTTCATGCCCTGGAGGAACCACTGACTGTTTGACTAAACGCACAGCCCAGAGCTCGTCTCCAAACCTCCTCTCTGGCTTCAGAAACCCACATGCAGCTCTGAGGAGCGACAGAAGACAGACACACAGTGATCTTACCATGGTAAAGTGAACATAAAACAAAACTGTCCAAGTTCACTTCAGTACACGTTGCTGGTCTTATTGTGAACGATTCATCAGTGCATGCTACTCCAACAGAACCGATAAACCGCTCACAGCAGCTGATGACTGCACTACAATGATCACACTTGGCTTTGGACAAAAGATGTTAATGGAAATAAAATCACTTGCTCAAACAGGAGCTTGATTAATGCGCAAACACACCAATGAAGAGACTGAGTATGTCATCCTTCTATATCAAGGTTGCTCGAAATACCATCAAAGCAGCTCATGCTCAGCCACAGACGTCACACTCTCCTCTGGCTCAGCCATCCCTGACCATCATGCCGAATGACTCGAGTCTCACATAAAAACACTGCAGTTCTTCATGCCCTGGAGGAACCACTGACCGTTTGACTAAACGCACAGCCCAGAGCTCGTCTCCAAACCTCCTCTCTGGCTTCAGAAACCCACATGCAGCTCTGAGGAGCGACAGAAGACAGACACACAGTGATCTTACCATGGTAAAGTGAACATAAAACAAAACTGTCCAAGTTCACTTCAGTACACGTTGCTGGTCTTATTGTGAACGATTCATCAGTGCATGCTACTCCAAAGAAAAGAAAATGTTTGTCACTGATCAGAACGTTCTCCTTCAGAAACAGCTTTTCTTTCTGTCTGATGTCATTACTGCAAACCTGATCACTGTTTCTATGAGGAAGACCAAGTTTCACTCAGAAATATGTCTAGATCTAGAAGAGAGCTGCTTAACCTGTGGTAAGAATCACTGCAACCCTTTAATAAAACAGCAGAAACGAGATAAGCCTTCAGGTATTTTACATTATATTAATTATAATAAACCACAACAGACATCAATTTTTTCATGTAATTAATTACTCTAACTGTAGCTATTTACGGTTGCCAAGCAACTTGTATTAATACAGGATTGAACTGATGTGTGTCACAGGTGTGTGTGTGTGTGTGTGAGAGAGAGAGAGAGAGAGAGAGAGAGAGAGAGAGAGAGAGTGTTATGTGTGTGTGTTACACATAGGCTTTGTTCTGTGGCAAGAGCTCTGGACAGCGAGGTCACCAGGACCTCTAGATGTCTACTGAAATATGAGCTATGCTCTTTACTGCATCTGTGATTAAACAAAACTAAATAATATATCTGAATTTGTTTGTCTGTATGCATCTGTGTATGTATGTGTCTTTGTTTTTAGAAAAGGAAAGCTCATGGGAAAACTCTGATTAAAAAAGAAAAAAGAAAATACATTTTAAAATCGTTTTACACAGGCTGAATACTTCTAACAGTAGAGAGACAGACAGATGTGTGTCACTCACCCGCTCACCAAAGCCGCCTCTGATTCCAGTAGGACCAGGCAGACCTGGATCACCTAAAGCTCCTTTAATACCCTGCATGGAAACACAAAATGAATACATTTCATAAACCATGGATCAGATGACACACAACTACTGCTCCCAAGCGCTCAGCCCTCAGAGCAACGGTCATGACTTTTGCCAAATAATAAATTACATTTACTCTCACCAAACCCTATCCTTCAGAACACATGGAACATGAGGCATGTTTCAGAGAGAGAGGGAGAGAGAGAGGGAGAGAGAGAGAGGGAGAGAGTTTACTATGTGAACATAAGAGACACTATAGCTGCCGAAGGGAAATTAAGTGTTATTAATTTATTAATTAATTTGTTCTTCCCTCCTCCATATAATGCCTCCAAGCATTCTTGGTGATTTTCTTTAGGATTTTCTGAAGCTCAAAGGTCATAAATATGCAGAAGGCCTCTTCTTCTGATGATTGCTCCTGAAGGAACGAGCTTGAGCATGATGGATGGAGGTCCATGATTCCTGCTGCTCAATGTTAAGGAGATAAAACACTCCTCCAAACTGACGGTTGTTTGTTAGTGTGCTAATCTGGGCCTGTACTGACAGGTGCACATAGAGCTCAGCTCCATCATTATGTGGAAAATATACTCGCAGCCTCAACAGAAATCTTTGCACAAACACCTGTGACGATTAAACACGACACTCGCTTCACAACCAAATGAGACAGAGAAATAAAGTAACATTACAATTCATCAGCTACAATATGCACTTAAGGCCAAATTACTTCCAGAACAATCCATCTCACACTATTTGGACCAGGATGGATGTCGTTCAACACAGACACAGCACTTCTGATCAACTGATACCACTCATTTTTAGTCTGTAAACACAAAGCTTTCAGAGAGACTCCAGTTACAAAGCCAGTCCCAAACCCACCCCAAAAGTAAACCGAGTCAAGATTACGCCCTGCGGGAATGAGAGCATGCCAACTGGACCGTGACAGGCAGCGAGGAGAACAGAAGTGCAGCATGCACAAAGGGAAAAACAGAGAAGAAAAGTGACGCAGCCCGAAGCAAACAAATAGGCATCTGGCCGGCAGCTCGGACACATCTGCCGGTAAACCACGATTAAATATCCCTCAATGGCATCTGTCAGATGATCAATCCATGCTGAGAGAGGGAACGCCAGCAAAAACTGCTCTACACAAACATTTGCATTAGCTGTAGAGACGGACAGGCCTCCTCTCTCCGGCATGGGTTAGGGCTCACTCCATATGACGCTCCTATGCCTCCCAAACGAGTCCAAACGCACACATACAGCTTCTCCTCACTCTCACAGCCCTGTACTGAGACTATGCTTTCTGTCTCCTTGTAGAAAGACAATTGACGGCTCCTGGATGAAAGAAACGAGAGAGAGACAGCTAAACGGTTGAGATGATGTCTCTGAATCACAGGTGACTAAGTCTTGAGCACAACAGATGCACACCAGACCCTGTTTACCCAGTAGATTCACCTACAAACAGCCTGGGAATAAATCAATACACAATTGTAAGATGCATTGTTGTCTTGATTATGGCCAGTAAGTGGTTGCCAAAGAACCACCCTAAGAGAAGAACTTTAGTCCCATGTTCTCCCACGATCACAGGAGCTGTGTGGATGATCACGGGCCCCATCTCATGGTTTGCTGATCCAGAGCCTCTGACGGTGGAGTGAAGAAGCATTAGAGAACGAGCATCCAGCCAGACAAGCCACTACCAGAGAAGAATGAATTATTTCTCCATCCGTCACTCAGCAATCTCCTCAACGCCTCGTGTGAGGTCACACTGAAACAGTAGGCAAAAGAAAGAGCGACCTTGAGAAGCCATTAACATTCAGTTTTTCAGACTCCAAAAGAATAAGGCGTTCAAAGAGACATGAAAACCCCAGATGAAATGCCAGTGCTGCTCGATGGATAATCTTACTGCCCGTGGGATTGCTGTGGTGTGTGTTTATCTTTCTGTTTACTAAAACTGTTTTTCAGAATTTCAAAAGCTGGAGAACTGAGAACAATAGTGATTCAGAAAGAAGTGTGAAAACAACATAAACAGGCCTTTAAATCATGCATTTCAGTTACAAAATGAAAGAGAAGCTAAAGAGCCAAACTCTTTACATGCTGTATCTCCAAAACCAGAGATCGGATGTAATTCAGCCCTGCTCATTTCTGATTTAATGAGGTCCAAAGAGTGAAATGCTTAGGTTTCTGGTCTAAAAGGTTTGTCAAAATGCATCGTTCACACAGCTGCTGGAACCGGTTTACAGTATACAGGGCTCTAGAGTGCGACCAATTTGGTCGCATGTGCGACCTAATTTCTCAATGGTGCGACTAAAAAAAATGCATTATAAACTCTTGATCTGGGAAGTAAATGGTATTATCGTTTTTATTTGTTTAATTAGGAATTGATGCTGCCTCAAAGAAAGCATTTGCTGCTCTTGGGGACCAGTGCAGTAACTGGCTGGAGAAAATCATTGCTCTGGGTGCTGATGGTGCTGCTGTTAATTTGGGCAGCAAAGGGGGTGTCATAGCCCTTCTGTAGCAAGAGGCAGGTGACCACATTGTGTCGTTCCACTGTATGCCTCACAGGTAAGACTAGAACTTGTAAAACTGCGGTGTTAAATGCGATGCGGTCGAAAATTTGGGTGCACCTAACTTTTGTGCTGGTGCACCTAAGAAAAAAAGTTAGGCGCACCAGTACAACCAGTGCAAAAAGTTAGTCTAGAGCCCTGGTATAGTGTTTAGAAGTTCTGCAAATGGTGCAGGAACCCCACAAATATGTGAAATATGTCATCTTTGCTCATGCAGCCAATGTGAGAGGCTGTTCAATGAGTCGATCACCTGAGCCGTGTGTGGAGGAATTGCCTCCGAGCCACCGGGAAAATGACATCATAAGAGCACTGATTGGCTGATGACATCACAAGAACATGCACAGATCCATAACCCTGACGCACCATCTATCTACAGGGGCTAGCCAGCCCGGCTCTGATCCCTGGACCTTACAGAGAAATCACATTCAACAACACATGGAAACAAAAAGATACATTTGTGAATAGCGAGCGAAGAGAACCAACCACATTTAATGGCAAATCCATATCATTCCCAAACCATGCCAGGGATTTCAGCCACATTCGGTCTGAAGGCTGGAAATAAATACACTGCTGACACAAGAGTCAAGCCAAGCAAGCCAAAGAAAAATTACAGATGATTATGTTTTGGCCCAAATGCCCTTACCAATAACCTGGGCGGAGAACAAGAGGTACAAGAGGATAAAACTGGCATGTGGCCTCAGATGTGCGATTGGAGATGAAGAATGACTTCACAAGCCAACAACAGATTGACACAAGCCAACACTGGAAAAAAAAAACAGTGCACACGGACTCAATCTGCAAAACATGCCTGAAATGAAGCTCTTAATGGAAAAATAACAGTCGAATAAAACTTAATACTTGAGCTGTGCGAAATGAACCAAAATGGCTGCTGTGGTGCTCAATGAGATTTTATCATGCGGGTGAACGAGGGAGACTGGGAAAAGGTCTCCAGGTTGAATGATGTCAGTGATCACGCTTGGTACGGTGACACCATTAGCTTACAAATCACTGAGACTGAACATGGAGCTCATTTCAATTAGTGCTCACCGTTCACTAGAGCATGGAAAGCCTGGTAGACTGGTCTGCCTCCACTATAAGATGATATGATGCACTGTCCAATAACCTTGCTGTTTTTAATTCTGTTCAAATCAGAGATGGGCACTCGAGTCGCATTTTAGACTTCAGACTCAACCTGAAATGACGAAATGACTCACTCGACTTGAGGAAAAGGACTTGTGAATATTTTAAAAGCAACTCGAGTCTTTTAACCTTAAATACTTAGATACTTAGAATTCAGAAGGCAGACCCCATCCGGACCACAGCACCATTTTAAGTGAGCAGTGCGTCAAAACAGCGAAGCGGATCACATAAGCGCTCAAGGTCGTTAACATGCACAGATCCATAACCCTGACGCACCATCTATCTACAGGGGCTAGCCAGCCCGGCTCTGATCCCTGGACCTTACAGAGAAATCACATTCAACAACACATGGAAACAAAAAGATACATTTGTGAATAGCGAGCGAAGAGAACCAACCACATTTAATGGCAAATCCATATCATTCCCAAACCATGCCAGGGATTTCAGCCACATTCGGTCTGAAGGCTGGAAATAAATACACTGCTGACACAAGAGTCAAGCCAAGCAAGCCAAAGAAAAATTACAGATGATTATGTTTTGGCCCAAATGCCCTTACCAATAACCTGGGCGGAGAACAAGAGGTACAAGAGGATAAAACTGGCATGTGGCCTCAGATGTGCGATTGGAGATGAAGAATGACTTCACAAGCCAACAACAGATTGACACAAGCCAACACAGGAAAGAAAAACAGTGCACACGGACTCAATCTGCAAAACATGCCTGAAATGAAGCTCTTAATGGAAAAATAACAGTCGAATAAAACTTAATACTTGAGCTGTGCGAAATGAACCAAAATGGCTGCTGTGGTGCTCAATGAGATTTTATCATGCGGGTGAACGAGGGAGACTGGGAAAAGGTCTCCAGGTTGAATGATGTCAGTGATCACGCTTGGTACGGTGACACCATTAGCTTACAAATCACTGAGACTGAACATGGAGCTCATTTCTATTAGTGCTCACCGCTCACTAGAGTATGGAAGCCTGGTAGACTGGTCTGCCTCCACTATAAGATGATCTGATGCACTGTCCAATAACCTTGGTGTTTTTAATTCTGTTCAAATCAGAGATGGGCACTCGAATCGCATTTTTATAGACTTCAGACTCAACCTGAAATGACTCCAGACTTGACTCGACTTGAGGAAAAGGACTTGTGAATATTTTAAAAGCAACTCGAGTCTTTTAACCTTAAATACTTAGATAACTGATATTCAGAAGGCAGACCCCATCCGGACCACAGCACCATTTTAAGTGAGCAGTGCGTCAAAACAGCGAAGCGGATCACATAAGCGCTCAAGGTCGTTTATGGCAAATATCTTTTAGCACTATATCCTCTAATATTTTTATCTAAAGCCAAACACGCTTTTTTTCAAGCCCTTTCAGCTCTGTGCGCCAAGAGCTGTGATGACTCG